TTTTATATTTATTTATTTTCTTTATTTATATGTAAAACATCTTCATGTTCTGAAAACCTTATTTACTTGCAAAGTGATAAACGATTTTATATAGTAAAGAAAAAGAGTCAAAACTTTTTAAAATATTTAACTGAAGATTTCTGAAGCCAAAATTAAATATAAATTTGATTTAAAATAGAATAGTCAAAAAAAAAAATAAATAAATAAATAAATAAATAAAAAAGTTAAAAAAAAAAAATGAAAAATGTAAAATATCTAAAATTCTATACGAAACTCCAATATTACTTTGCAAGTTGAATTTGCCTTTGGCGAGTCGAAGCTCCATTCCAAATTTTATCTATTTTGTATTTCACATGTATGATTTATTTTAATTCACATTTATAATATCATATATCATCTATCATATTGTATCATAATCGCCTTTGTACATAATTAGAAATGAAGTATTTGAAAGTAGTTCAACTCATGCATCACTCACATATCACACAAGAAGTTGAGCTCCTGTTGGACGGGATAGCTCAACCGATGGGAAGAATTTGCGACTAAATTTGTCTATATTTTTTCATCGACAGGACGCAATGGTGGCAAATCCAATAAAGAGATGGCCTGTGGCAGCTCCACTCCTGCGCCAGGTACTGCTTCGGGCAGCAATAGTGGCAACACGACGCCCGCCCACAAGTCAAGCTCGTTGGAATCGGACAAGGATCAGGTGGGCGGCGTCAGTGCCAGTGCTGTGGCAGCGGCTGCGGCTGTTGTTGTGCCAACGCCAGCGCCCGCACCGCCCACCAGCATCCACGATCCGAATCACTGGAGTAAGAAGGAGAAATACGATGCGGACGCGTATCTGGAGGGCGCCTATAAGAAGCACCTGGGCAGACACGCCAATAAGTGAGTCGTGTGGAATCGAATTTGTTTAAACTAATCAACCAACTCGTGGGCCAAACTAACATTTGCTAACAACAACAAAAACTCTCTCTCTCTCTCCCTCTCCCACTCTCTTTACGTTTTTTGTTTCGTTTCGTTTGAATTATGTTTAATTTGTGTTAATTTCGTTATCGCGTTTTTACAGGGTATTGCTGCGCGTGCGCATGCTCTATTATATACAGCACGAGGTCATTGGCGAATTCGTGCAGCAGATTAAGGATAACACGCCCATCAGGTAGGCAATCAAATGATAGATCTATAAACATAGTAGTAGATCATTGAACACACATCACATCATGATTGTTGTCGTTGATTGATTGACTGATTGTTGTTGTTGCGCTCTAATCAAGCGTGCCAAGGCATTCGTTCGTTTTTCTTTTATATAAATATCTTCTGACAATTATATATCTCTCTCTATATATATACATCTATATTCATTCATATATTTTTATTTATTTTTATTTGATTATTTAACTTATTAATTGTATTTTAAATATTGAAAAAAAAAATGCCAATTTGTTTTTAATGTTAATTAGCCTTAAACTCTTAAACTAAACATTCGATTCTGTTACTTAAGCTCGCGATTAATATTTCTGCTCTATGGAAAATTTAATGGGATGGAGTTGTGCTCTTTAGTTTCAAATTGAAATTGAACTGAAAATTCATTGAAATTGAACTGATTGAATTGAAATTGAACTAAAGATCGCAACTCTATCTAAATTTGGGTATTTGATCGCTTTTGTGTGAGTGCGCTCGCTCTCTAACTGCTCTTTCTCTCTCTCGCTCGCTCTCACACACACACACACACTCCTTTACTCGTTACTAAACTCTCCTCTCTCTCTCTCTCGCTCGTTACTAAAAACTCTCGCTCCATGTTTAGAAGTTCGTTCATTTCCCAAATATTTGTTCTATGCAACTATTTATTAAAATACATTTTGTATAAATCCAACCTTTAATCAAAAAAATAATAAAAAAAAATGGTATTCGCATCGTAAGCTCCAAAAACTTTTCTCTATCTCTCTCTCTCTCTCTCGCTGTGTTTTGTTTGTTGCACTTGAACAATTTCTTTTGACGAATTTTCTAATTTGCTAATTTGAATACGAATATCTATATATATATATGTGTGTGTGTATTATGTATGTATATACTCTATATATACTGACTACTTTTGGAACTACAACAACAACAACTTCTACCACTACAACAACAACTGCTGCAGTTCGAAAGCAAAGCAACTACTAGCACCCAATCTGGAAAGGTAATATCTATGCACACACACACATACACACACACAAAGACACAAACACACACATCTCGCTCTCTCTCGCCCGTTCGCTCGCCCGATCGTCCTCTCTCGCTACGCAAAAAATACTGAGGAAAAACTCATTTTATGCGTCATATCGTATCGATCAACGAATTGTTCCAATAAACATGACATCAAGCAAAGAAAAAATTTCCATGCGAGGGTGGCTTGAAAAATTTACGAACGTCCAGAAATTTTTATGAAAATCTTTGAAAAAATTGATTTCATTAAAAAATATATGTATTTAGCTTTGAAATATTTCAGCTCACTCTCGTCTATCATTTTTCAGTCCTCCAAAAGCTAACTCGAAATTTACTTAAGTTGCATTTTGTAGTTCTTGTACTCGAAAATCCCTCCAATGTAATTTGTTTTCAACTGTTTTTAATCCGTAGCACAAATTGGCAAATTAACAAAAAAACTTATAATCACAATTTTATTTCCAATTTTTTTTTTTATTATTTCTGAAATTTTTGAAATTATTTTAATTTGGTATAACTTTTGTTTCCAAATTTTATTTAATCATAACATAAAAAAATTGACATATTAAAAATAAAACGACATTTTTATTTAAAATTTATACTAAACAACTCATTTCTATTTCCCCTCATCT